TTTTTTTTTGTCCCCGCTGGTTGTATTTCAAGTTCGCAGCCAGGAATGGCTGCGTATACAGGTAATGGCTGCGTATACGGGGTTGCGTTTTGTCGTTTAGCGGCTGCGTTTCCGTTTGGGGAACGTCGTCGACCTTTTCGGATGCAGCGAGACGGCTACGTTGTCCAGCTGCATTCACAATGTTGTCGGGTGGAGATCTTGCAACTAGGCTTTAAAAAACAGGTGTAAGTGGGTATACAGGCCGTTGCAGTCGCCGACACGAGACGGACCGGTCGTTCCGTGAGGTAACACGGCGGCGGTCACTGCGGAGGACGCGTGGTCGCTGGAGACCGACCAGTAGTAGTGTCGGGTCCCGTATAGGAAAGTCGGGAAATGGTTATCTGACCGTGCGTTGAATAGGGAGATCGACAGCCCGGACGTAATTCAGAAATGTTGGGGTCGTTTGTTGTTGCTAGGCCCCGGACACATGACCCGAAAGATGGTCGTTTTTTTGTTTTTGTTTTTGTATTGTGTGTATCTTAGTACCTGTGTAGGCGGACAGGTGTGCGGTGCGTTTCAGGCTTTTTTGAATCGGGTCTGCGCTGCGCTGAGGAGCAGCCGGCTGCACCTGCTGGCGGAACTCGGAGCGGCAGTGTCTGCATTTGGCCTCGGGCGCACGTGCGGCCGGGTATGTGTACGGCGGGCTGTGAGAGGGAGGGTCTTTGTGGGGAGGAGGCACACAGGGCGGCGGGGGTGGTGGGGAGGTGGGCAGTAGCGGCGGGAAAGGGAATGTAAGTGACAGTGGGCACCCGACAGGTGGTGGAGGCAAGAGCGGGACAGGGGGAGGGTCTCAGTCGGTGGCATCTAGGGGTGGCTTCGGAGGTGGTAGGGCTGGGGCTGGGAGCGCGGGGGGATTCTATTCCTCTCATAAAGACGGGAATGGCGCGTCGTGGGCTGGTCACCGGTCCGCCGTCGTCCTGGCTGTGCCCCCACGCCCGAGCGTGGTATCAGTCTTATCTTAAGACTAGTATAAGCTGAAGGATTTGAGAGCTTACTGTCATTTTCAGTTCAGTCACCTTTTTACTGTGCTTCATGACAATTTTGAGAAGTTTCTATCTGGATGAGGCGGAGTTGCCTTGGGACGCTGGACCCGGTTTCCAGCGAAGGTTTTTCAGCATGCACCGGGTAGAATTGCGAGCTCCCCGCCCTCAACCATTATCGATTTTTGAATATATAAAGCGGCAACTTCTCAAAAAAAAAAAAAAAAAAAAAAAAAACCAGCAGGTGGCTTATGCTGACCTCGGGTGGGGAACAAGCTATTTGAAGGTGACAGGAACCGTCAGGAACGGAGTTGAGCCCCCGACCTCCTGGTAGACAGGTCGACTGGAACTTTTGGGCCTTACCAAGTGGGATAGGCGGGTGCGCCGTACCAGCTCAGCTACCCAGCTACACTTTTGTGTGTGAACAGGGCCAACCCCTCCTGTCGCCCCCTTGTGTACCCAAAGAACGGAAGGTGCACGTGCTCTGAGCAGACGTCTGTGTAAAAAAGGGAGGAACGAAAAGCATCACACACGGCCACGTGTTTATCAGAAGCTCCACATCAGGAGCCGAAACCGGATGACGAGTTCGCGGCGTTGCGCCAGAGTGTGGGCTGACACACAGGTGCGAAGCCACAAGTCGAGGGATCAACCCGCCCGCACGTTTCACTCTGTTCTTGAGTTTCCAGTAGACACCGCCAAGTTGTCAGTGGATGGGACTGAATGATATGCACACGTAAACTGTTAGGAAAGAGATGATGAGTTCGAATCCCGCAAGAAATAGAGTACAGCGATCCTGCACCATATCCAGCCCATGGGTCTGAATGCTACGCGAAATGTAAGTGACCCACTAGCGGGTGTTTAGTTTATGTTACGTGTATTTTCCAACGCGATCACACTACCGTCTTCCCGCGAACACAACGCACCATCATTTTGACTGCATCGTGACGGAAAGATAGACTGTATACATTCATTATCAAGGTGCGTTATGTTTGGGGGAAGACTGTAGGGCCGTGAGATTTTCAGATCGGATGGCAAGAAGCCATGTACACTCGAGACCAGAACAAAACCTCGAGAAGTGGGACATGACCCCGGGGCCGTGGTCCCATTGGCAAGAGAGCATTGGATTGAATGCCTGAATGTGGACGTGTTCGAGGACAGGAGCAGGAAATCGAGATCGAACTGCTTTTCTGTATCTCTGCAAACAACATGGCCAGATTCAGGATTTCTATCCGATCCTCTTTGCTAGTGGGACCACGGCCGGGGGTTAGTTGGTGTTCCCCCGGGGCGAGGTCCCACTAGCAAAGAACGCCTGAATCTGGCTGAGTTTGCGGACAAGTGCAAAAAATTGAACTCCTTTTCTGCAATTCTTCCTAAAACACGTCCAGATTCAGGATCTTAATCCAATCCCCGTTGCCATTGGGACCATGCTCCCGTACTATAGACTAGTGAGAGGATGAGATAGATGCGTACTACCAACCAAAGATGAAAGTAAATAAATAAATAACAATATAATAAAATAAACTGAAAAAAAAAAAACAAAAAAAAACTGAACGTTCGATTTGTAATTTGGGGGAGAAATCGGCGGAGGATCGTTGTTGCCTCAGTGTTGGGGCGCTTGGTTTTTGCCTGGTTAAGCCTGCAAAGCCGGCATATCTGCACGGTTGGGTTGACGTGCGTTCTGACGAGGAGTTGCGTTTGGAATGCTCGTCGGACTGCTGTGGTCTACGAATAGGGTAGTGAGCCGACTTGTCGCTTTGTTGGCTGTGTCCTCTCGTTGATCGGATTTTTTTTTATTTTTTTTTTTTTTATTTTTTTTTTTTTTTGTGTGTGTGTGTGTGTGTGAAAAACATAGTTATATTATTCCAATAAAAGGAGGCCGGGAATCCCTCCACATCTCAACCCGGAGAGGAGAAAACGGCCTCAGAGAGGCTATCTGGAAACCGGGTCCAGAGTCCCATGCTCCTGTCAACAGACTGGTCAAATCTGAAAGGAGGATCCAAACATGAGCGGCTAAAAATTATCAACAGAGACAGAGGGAAAGTCTGTCTTTCTATCCATGACCCTATAGACATTTCACATCCGGGAGCTTAACCCGGATATGAAACTTGGTAGTCTATTTGCGACCTACCAAAAATCTCTTGATCGAGTTTCCTCTGAAGGATCTGACCAAGAATCAGTCTACACTCCGGCCCTAACCACGGGCCATTCCAACTGCAGGGCCGCCGAGGCTAGGCTAGTTGACTTAAAATCGGGACTTTACCATTAACAATGTCAAAAACTCTGTGAAACCAGCTCGCAGGCCTCTCAACCCTACGGTTGCCTGTTTGAAGTGACCCGCTAGCCTTGTGAGCAACGCACAGAGATATATCCACTATCCCAGAGAAAAAAAAGGACATGGAGTAAACAGCTTATCCAAAGTCCGCTTAGAAAAACTGAAACCGGGGTTTCAACTTCTGTCTGGAGAGATATAGACCCTTCTGCCAGGAACAACAAAAATGGCTGAGTAGGGACTACACTAGCCGACAGAGAAGAGACATTTAGCATTGTATGGATGTTAGCTATTGCCTGTATGATGACTCCATAACAGGTCTGAGTAGAAAAGCTTGTTGTCAGTCGATAGGTCCGCCCATTGTTGTCAGTCGATAGGTCCGCCCATTTATATTGATCGGATTTTCTGCTTCGCCAGTGAGTTTTTTCGTTCAAGCCTAGAAACGGCCTGGATTGCAAGCTGAGGAACATCCCTCTTCTTTGGTGACCGCTTCGACCTTTTGTTGTTTTCTGATGACGCTGATGTGGGTGGAGTTTGTACTTTGTCTTCCGCTCTTTATTTTGGTTTCCCTTCTCATCCGTGATCCCTGGGTGTGGAGGAGATGGGTGTGGCTGCCTTGGGATCTTATCTGCTGCTGTGATAGAGTGCTGAAACTCCTTTGGTGGCTATTTGGCTTGGTGGTTTGGGTTGCAGGCGTGCTATACATAACTGCTTTCTTCTTTCTCCTCGCACACGCATGCCTGGCTTTTTCTTTTTGCCTATATTTGCTGGCCATAGATTGTTGGGGTTTGTCCCGACTCTGTCTTGTAGTTAAGCATCTTGCATTCTTTACCCTTCTGGTGACGACTTTGAACAGCTTTTTGCAGCTGGAAGATGCTGGGGGGGTGTTCCCGAGAGGGGAAGGTACTAGTGCTACCTAGGGTTTGTCCTTGAACCAAGAACGCAAGGTTCTAGTGCCACGTACGGTTCGTTTGAGGTTCTTTTGAGGTAGGTGGACTTTTGACGACCGTCAGGCGTGTTTGAAGGGAGTGGTCAGTTGATGATTACAGCCATGGCTACTTCACAGCAGAGAGCTATCTCATCTGCTGACGAGAGAGAAATTAGAGACATGATAGCTCAGTGTTTTTTGACTGGACAGGAAAATCCTGCGGTGGCATGTGTCTTCTGCAATCAAAGATAATGTCCTGGAAGTGTATCTTCACAAGCCTTACGAGGATTTCCATGTTGATTTCTTAAAAAGACACAACGTTATGGTGCTGTTTGCCTTGTGTGGCCCTGAAATGACGTTTCAAGAGAAAGAGAATTGGATTCGTGGATCGGAGGGTGCATGGGATGAACAGTTGACGAACAACAGACTGGGGAGAGTCAAGCCAGAGGGGGCTTCCCTGATTTCCTATTTAGCACCTACCCAGAGGCTTAGGGATTGGCTGATAAATGAGGTTAGTGACGCAAAAATAGTGTGGCGAGGGAAGGAATATCCGGTGCGTTTCCGACCGTGGCTGACGCCTGCTGAGGTACTCAGAAGTCGCCAGAGGCACAGGAAGGATGATACTGGATCAGGGTCTTGAAGGTGCCTTATCTTGCCTTGTCTTCTTTGCAGTTTGCAGTGGAGCAGCAGTTTGGCAAGGATTTGAGGGCGCATCCTCTGGAGAAACGGAAAAGCGAACCGCGTTTAGTCAACCGGCGTTATGACTTACCTCTATCCGCTAGGCACAAGATAACGCCTATTATTCGGGTTTTTTCTCAGTTCGGCCATCTGGATCTGGACGTGGTCACTCAGGACACCCCTTGGTGTGAAGTTCACCGTTGGTATGGTCACCCCTCGGTGGATGGAAGATGCCTGCAGAATGCAGACCCAGTGAGATGGGACGAAATCCTTCAAAAGGGGTCGCGGGAGAAGCAGCAGCCCCTGAGAATGTGGGCATGGGAGAACCTGGGCTTTTATTCCCTTCGTCAGATTTGGCTCAGCCCCTGCGGGATGATTATATGTCACCAGCCTCTCGCCCAAGAAGAACAGAGCAGAGAGCCCTGATGAAGGCAGTTCAGCAGAGAGGCACGCGGTCAGAGTCTGCAGCTCCTTATGCCAGGTCTGGGGAATCACAACGATTGCACGGTCGTCGACCGATGGAAGAGCCAGTATCTCAGCAAGGTCTCCAGTCTGCTTCGACGCAATCGCCTCAGGCACTTGTACACCCCGGCGCTACGTCTGTGGCATCGCAATCCAGGCTTGGGAGTGTGGGAACTTCTCTGAGAGGGCAAGACTACCCGCAACCTCTCCCTGTCGGGACGGCTTTAGCAAATAGAGAAGGGGACGGTGTCCCACCTTACATTGTTTTCCCGGTCATCCTGACATGGACTGAGGGGGATTTGAAACTTTTGACTGCCACTAAACAGGATACGCCCTTGGGGAAAGGTCAGCATCATGAGCTGATGTCCTCCCTCATATAGCATTTTCACGAGAGCCTGCGTTTGACGATGCGATGGTGGAAGTGGGTAAATGGTTGGGTCCGTCCTACAGAATGAGAAAATGGCCAGAGATTCCATGGATTCAGCTGCCCAAGCAACTGCCCAGCGACAGGAAGTGTCCACGATATTCCTGTTTTTGGAAGTTCGTGTCAGCGAACATTCACATGCGGATCTGAATATGCCGAGGGCGCGTTGGATCTCGTGGACAGAGTTTGCCAACCCGCAGAACGAGACGGTTACCTCTACTTCGCTCTGTGCCACATGGACCGCGGTTCTGCTCCATGAGGTTGATACCCACTTACCTGAAGAAGTCAATTTTTTTGGGTCTGGTTTCGCAGCTTTGATGTTTACAAAATGGACAGATTAGTGGGCGGCGTGGTTTTGTGCTTTAGGTGTGTGATACCAGGTTGTTTAGCATGATGCGGCGGTAACTGATTAGTAGAGATGCTGTTTAAAAAAAAAAAAAAAAAGGGTGTTCCGTTTTTTTCTCCCCCTACTGCAGCTTCCGCTTGTAGATGGATGTGGTGAGAATTGCTTCGTGGAACGTGAGAGGGCTAGGGTCAACATTAGTCGCTTATAAACGATCCTTGATCACGGCTCTTGCTAGGAATCATGGCGCACAAATAGTGTGCCTGCAAGAAACGAAGCTGGATCGTCTTGCTGCTGCCCGTCAGATGTGGTGGCGTGGTCCGCAGTTCTGGGCCCCCGCGAAGGGAACAAAGGGTGGAGTGGCCATCTTGTTCTCACCCACTTTCTCAGTGCATTTTTGAGACTTCTTTTGGGATTCTGAAGGAAGCTGGGCTTGGGTTGCTTTTGAATTGGACGGTGAGCTACGGGGCATTTTCACGCTCTATGCTCCGGTCGATCCTGCTGAAAGAAATCGTTTTTTTCGGTTCTTACCCGGGTTGGTTCCGCTAATAGACAGGCTCGTTTTGATTGGGGATTGGAATATGACTCTTACCCCTGGATTGGATTCTCTCGTCCCCCACCAGCCGGCGACGGACGCTTTGCGAATTGTCGCCACTGCTGCAGCTTTGGGGTGGACTGATACTTTTCGTTTTCTATATCCAGACAGACAACAATTTACTTGGTTGGGCTCTTGCCATCCCAACGCATCCTATTGCCCCCGTTCAAGCATTGACATTTCTTTTATTAGCAATGCTCTTATCCCTTTGCTGCAGGATACTGACATTCTACCTGTTGTGGGGTCTGATCACCTCCCGCTCCTCCTCTCTCTGCGGAGGCGTTTGTTCTTGCGTATCTTTCATGATATGGTGTACCTTCCTCAAAGCCTTTGCTATGACACTCGATTCCTTGGCAGCGCCTTGGATGTGTTGAAAACTGTGAAAAACTCGTTATCTTCTGGAGACACTCCTGCAGTGAGAGTGCAATCACTTTTGAATTCTCTCCGTCGCCACGCCCTGACCGCGAAACGCCAGATCAGTTCTCTTGACTTCTTTAGCAGGCAAGAGAGTAAACTGCGCGAGGTGCTGCGACTTCTGAGCCCTTCTTTGAATCCGGACCCTGTTATTTCACCTCCGCTGATTTCTGAAATTCGCGAAATCGCGTCGCAAGTGCGTGATTATCACAAACACTCGGTGTGGAAAGCGAAGCAAAAATGGTTGGCGGCGGCTGACCGTATGACTGCATCTCACTTTCGTAGAGTCCCCTGCAACGGATCTGACACCTGTGTCTTGCAACTTGACCACCCCTTTGATGAGGCCTCTCCTCCCGCTGTTACAACCGAGGCGATCCTGGATTATGCTGTTTTGTTCTGCAGGGATCTTTTCACTACCAGATTGCAAATCCCGAATGTGGACGAGTACTGTTCACTGCATATTTGGCCTGCTTTGGATAAAGAGCTCTCGTTAGAGCAGCGGCAGGCACTAGAGAGCGACTTTACAGTTGATGAGATTAGGGTGGCCATCAAACAGCAACCACCGGGTAAAGCTCCGGGCGTTGATGGCTTATCAGCCATGCTGTTCAAGAAATGTGCTTCCATGCTTGACCAAGAGATTGTTAACTGCCTCATGTCCATGGCTTCGGGTCATCCTATGCCTGCACAACAGTTGCAGGGGGTGGTCACTCTTGTGCACAAAAAGGGGGCAAAATCGCAAATTTGGAATAAGCGCCCTATCACGTTGACTACTACGTTCTATAAGATCGTTTCGAGAGTTTTGGCTAACCGCATGCAGTCGGTCTTGCCTGGTCTCGTCCATCCGGATCAGACAGGATTCATGCGAGGCAGGCAGATTCTGGACACAGTGATAGCTGTGGCACAGGGTGCAGAACTCGTGAATCGATATGCAGCCCCCTTTGGAATCTTGCTCTTAGACTTTGAAAAAGCTTGGCAGTTCCTCTTCGCTCTGTTGACGAAGCTGAACTTTGGGCCCCGTTTTTTTAGTTGTATACGAGCTCTCTTCAATGGAGCGACAACTGCATTGTTGATAAATGGTAAATTGTCTGAGTTTTTTCCTATTTCTCGTTCGGTGCGACAGGGCTGTCCGTTGGCCCACTATTTGTACATTCTGTATGTGGAAGCATTGCATGCTACAATTAGAGTGGATGATAGCATAGTCGGACTTCCGGTCTTACCTTTGCTTGATGCGCCCTCTGCCAAGAGCCAGTCTTTCGCTGATGACACATCGATCTTTCTTCTTCTGCACGACGATGTCTATAGTAGACTGAAAGCTGTTATTACCATTTTTTCCGTGGTCGCTGAAGCCAAGGTAAATTGGAATAAAACAGTTCTGCTAATCCCCTCAGGCGCCCCGCCTCCCCATCATTGGGGTATTAGCGTTGTGTTGCCCGAGGAATCAGAGAGACTTCTCGGTTTTCAGCTTTCTTTTGCTAACCCTCTTGGTCGGAATCAGAGTCATATCTTAGCCAAGCTGGCCTCTACGGTTGCTGCTTGGGCTCGATGCAAAGGTGTGGCCCTCCCGGGCAGAGCTTTGACATTGAACAATGCAGTTTTCTCTAGACTTTGGTACGAGCAGGCGCTTTCTCCGCTGAGACCAGCGGTGTATGCAGAAATCAAACAATTGGCTGCCCGATATCTCTGGAAAGAGTCTGTCAAAAAAGAACCCTTTATGCCAAAAGTTGGGTGGAATAAACTCATTCAGAAAAAACACAATGGTGGTTTGGGACTTCTGGATCCAAAGTGTCAGATTGCGGCGCTTCTTTCTAAATGGCCTCTCAGGCTGCTGTTGGCGCCTGACAATGCTACTTGGGAGCTTCTAGCACTCCATTTGTTAGCTTTGGACTTTGACCTCGATTTTGATTTTCACAATTTGGGAATGGTTCAGCTTGCTCTTTTTCTTCGGCCGTATTGTCATAAACGACTCACATCTCCCTTGTGGAGATCCGTAGTGCAAGCTTGGATCAAGATCTTGCCGACCAAAAAGCCTCCAAAGCTTGAGTACTATAGGCTCCTTTCCCAGAATCTCTTCGACAATCCCTATATTCTGCGTCCTGATGGTCTGCCTTTTCAGCTCTTTGGAGTTGGTAATTTTGGTCATGCTTGGATGGTGCGTGGGGTCGCCACTCTGGGCACATATTTGGGACGAGGTGGCTGGGACATGGAAAACGGAGGAAGAGCTGGTTCCTCTCCTTGGCAGTCTCCACTATTGGAGACAACATCTGCGTACGATTCAGCAGGCCGTTCCCATGCATTGGTTGGAGTGCATTCAAGAAAAGCGTGTGGCCGTTGGAGCGTGGATGAAGGATGAGCATATGCAACGGCCAGACAGACTTTGGAGATTGGAAAAGCCGTTGATGTCTGATCATTGGGAAATGACTTGTTGGGAGCTCTCTGATGGGTATCTTGGTCTCGGTCAACCTCTGTCTCAGTTGTCAACTGCGCCTGTGGAGTCTGATCTCTGTGGTTTGGTCCCGGTTTCTGTGTTACAAACTCCGTAGGGCGCCACCCTCGGTTCTGTGCTTTATCGACCATATAAGGTCCAGATTCCTGCACACAAATTGTTTGTGGATCCGCGAGATTGGTGCTGGGAGGACCCTCGACATCCTGCTGGTACAGTGGATATTCATTTGCACTCAGTCCGTCTTGCTTATGCCATGATGCTGCCTAAGGTTGACATGGACTGGGAAATTTCTAAAAGCTGGAGCAATTCTTCCGATTTTTCTTGGTCTTTTCCATTTACTTGCCTGTTTGTTTTACTCCCGTGTGGAAGTTGCTTTTATCTTTGCCAGTGCCAAAGCATGCTGCTTTGTTATGGTTCAATCTGCACCGTGCGGTGCCTACTGCTAGCCTAGTGTACCGTAGAACTCGCAATGGCCAACCGTTTTGTGATAGATGTTGTGGAGGATATTACATTGACGACCTTTGTCACCTGTGGATATCTTGTGACACTTCGGCCTTTTTTTGGGATTGGTGGAGAATCTGTCAAGTTGTGGTCTGACACTTCTAGTCTCATGGGCTCTGCCACTCTTCAATTACCGCGGAACAGAGCCTATGTTTTTGAGGCCACACGTGCAGTTATTTTTTGGAACATGTGGAAGTTGCGTAACGCCGTGGTCCGCGAGGGCAAACGCTCATCCTGTCAGGATTTGATTATCGCTGTTTTGGCTGAATTGCGCCATGTTATTCTTCTTGATTGGCATAGGCGGGTAAACAAAGCAGCTTCGGTCTCTGCAGGAATACGCTGGTTCCGTAGGCACTGGGCTGCGTGCGACAAGCTTGCTT